ATTAGTTCTTTTAAATGTTTCCCCAAGTAGTTTTAATTGGGTAATAAATGATCATTAAACTTTATGAAATATGCAAGCTAAATGAATTTAGACTGTTTTTACTATTTACCACCCCCAGCCACTTCCCCATAGATGCTGTTAATTTTTATAATCATTTTATTGTCTTTAGATTTTCATGAGGAAACATGGCTTTTCTGTACTTGAATCCAAAGAAAATTCTTCAGTTTTTCGTTACTGACAATTTCTAGTGAAGCATAATCCTAAGGAATGGAGATCGATAAAGTGCAAGCAAGACTCACAGTTATTCCGGAGTGGGATGGCAAGACCAGGGCAGGAAGCAGAAAGAGGGTATTGAGGAAGTAACTGCTTTAGGAACGGGGAAACCTGGGTTTCTGCCTCCTGGTTCTGTCACAAACCCGCTGTGAGGACCACTAACTTTTTAAGCTCAATTTCCTTATCTGTAAAATGAGGCCACCACACTTAGGTGGTGTCAGGTGCTTCTCCATTTGCAGTCTTTATTTTGAAAGACTAGCCTGAGTGGGCTACCACTGTGAGCTAATGAAGATGGCAGAATTAAATCTTCCCTATCTCAGTCCACTTGTCCCTGAGTTTTATTGCTACACGGACATACCTGAGACTTCTAATGTGCAAAATGAGAATTACCTCCATGCGAGACTGAATCTAAGGACCTGGACTGGAGAATGTGCGATAAAAGGGGGAAAGGAGTAGAAATGTTTGAACTTAAAGATATATGAGTGAGCTTTCGTTTGCTATTAAGTTGGTGAAGATTTAGGACAGAATCTCTCGTTTTAGGAGGACTTTACTTTTCCCTGTGCAAATGAAGAAACTTGGCTATTAGAGGTCAGGAAAGCAAATGGCTGTGTGAAAACTCAGCTTAGTGAAAATCTTGTAATAGAACGACTTGCTATCGTGCCTTGCATCCAAATGATTGTAAAGCGGACTTATTCTTCTTTTGGTGCTTTTTTCCTATTGGTTAATGTGGACGACAGTGAAAGGAATTCCAGAAATATAGGTTAGAGAGAAATCAAAAGCCTGTAGTTAATTAACAGCAAATTAGTTTGAGCATTTGTTGGCTTGTATGCCATCTTTATGTGACAAATTTCATTACAGCCAGGAGCAAAAAAAAAAAACAGTTGCAAATACACCCCAAATAAGAGTGATGAATTCTTGAGTCAAGTTCTGCATAGAAACATGGGATTTCATGTTGGTAAGATCAATTCATTCTGTGCTCATCACTGTGAATAAACTTGAGTCATTTTAAACAGCAACATAATGATTAAATCAGATTTCTGGCTTCAGTATTCTTTGTGGACTGTGGAGCCCTTTTTCATTTGGAAAATAAGCTACAGAGTCAAAAGATACATCCAGTCATCTGAGGAGACACATATTCTTTCCTGCAGCCACTGCATGGCTTGCTGGTTCAGATGCAGCCTAGGTAAATTGTAAGAAGTTTAATTGAGTAGATAAAGAGGTCCTCATAATTATAAACTGCAGTAGGTGTAACAAGAGGCTAAACACATAACTGTGTGGTTTTAATTAGCTGGTGCTTCAAATTAGTAATGTCGGTTTCAGTCAGAAATCAGTGACGTTATATGCTGAAAGCCTCATCACCATGTAGTTCATTCCTCATTAGACCTCACCATGTGAAGCTTTCAATACAATTCCATGCTGAGTGAGAAAAGGAAATGTTGGAGATATTTGGTTGCCTTCCAAGAGCACTGGAACTCTATGGAGATTAAATTCATTCTCAGCAGAGATATGAGAATTAACCGTTCTTTGTTATACGTGTTAAAAATGCAGTAGGCAGTTTTGCTTGCAACAGATAACAACCATAAGCACACTCAGTCTGCTATTCAAATTTGCATCTGGAATTTGGTAGCTAATGAACTGATGCAAAATGCAGCCAAGAGCCTCCTAACAAATCAAAGCCAAGTCTAAAGCCCCGAAAGTGCCCTTACTGCTGGCGGCTTGAAGGGCTGTCACGGAAGTTGAAGCAGCTTCCCTTTCTTCCCCTCCTTCTTTTTTTTTTTTTCCCTTTAGGGTTTTAATTATATCTTTCCCTCAGAGGAGAAGGAAGATAGTTTGCAAAGCCAAGAGACCAAAACACTTCAGTTTTCTTCTTGGGAGAATTAAATATGATCTATGGGCCTGTCATTCTGAGCTGTCAGGTGCATGAAATGAACAGATAGCTAGAGAACTGACATCTTGCTTGCATTACTTAGAAGCAAGACATTTTGCTTGTTTGGTTGTGGCGAATCATCTGCTGTGGAAGGCAAAAAAATGACCTGTCCTTCGCCTTCACAACAAACCTTTCCCTCCCAATAAATACTATTCTAACTTGTTATTCCGCCCCTATCCTGACACTGTATCCTGCTTACATTTTGGCAAATTGATGGGTTTGGATTATGCATAGCCAGTATATGTGGTGTATAGGTACAATCTTGTTCTCCACACTTAATGGAATGATGATGACCTGATGATTTGCCTGACTGATTTCGCATCAGCCTCCAACTGGGACACATAGCAATTGTTTGGGTTTCTGATCTCAACATGTGAAGAAAAATGATTGAGAGCACAAGAAAACATGGTACTGTGGAGAGTTTTTGAGACTAGACATGATAAAGCTGTATTTCACTATATGGACTTGGTGTCTTTCTTGAACAGGCATGCTGCAAAGGTGTGGCATGGGTTAGGGGGGAGGGATCTGCAGTTCTCTTTTGCTTTTCCCAGCCAGTGACACCATATGCTGAACATAGGAATGGTCCAGTGAGCTCTTATGTATATGGCATTGTTTGTATTATGAAAGTACATTGTGAATTTAAGCATCCTATAAATGTTGCCATTATTTAAAAGTGAAGCAATGGTTGTTTTTTATCCACAAGATATGGCTACCAAAATCACTTTGAATTTGACAGTTCAAATCCTGTGACAAATGGTAGATTAATCACTACAGTGGTATCATGCATCACAAGTACATCAGCACTAAGTTAAGCTGCGTAGGCTGTTCATGCAATAGGCTATTACTTTGTAAATTAAAGTTACGCTACTCATGAGCAACCTAGCTTACCAATGATAGAAATTAATGTTTGAGATGTATTTAAATTCTGTCATCTATACCTTTATATCAGTAAATATCCTGTAATTTCCATAGCTATGATGTTCATTTGTATGCCAATTATCTAATTAATCTTAACATAGTAGTATTAACCCAAGGAAGAAAATCAACATCAATATAGCACCTGCTAGGCATTTTCTGTGTATTCCTGTGACTTAAATTTGCCCAGTGCACATATATACTCATATTGAGTAAGGGTGACATCAAAAGTAGGTAGAAAAACCCTATGAACAAAATAAAAATAATTACAGGAAGAATATTACTTATCTGAAGTACCTGGGATCAAGTGTTTCAGATTTTGTATTGTTTTTATATGAAAATATTTGCATAAAAATTGTAAGACACCTTTAAGTGAGGCCCAGGTTTAAACATGAAATCCGTTTGCTTTGCATATATACCTTAAACTTGCAGCTTGACCATAAATTTGAATAATGATTCTGATGTGTTTGCATTTTGAAGTCAAGAATGGAATTTTCCAATTGTGAAATGATGTAAGTGCCAAATCTTTAGGAATTTGAATTTTTGGATTGGGGTACTCAGCCTATATCCATAAGACTTAGAGGCAATGAATTAATTAGCAGTCTTCTGAAGGGAAGGGAATAGTTGTTTTTTTTAATAAATGTTCCCTCTGCAACACTCAAGAGTCCGGATTACGTAAAGATATCTGAGACAGGAAAGTGGATTTAAACATTAGTACATTTTGAGTGCAAAAAAAATGACATCTGTGTCATTTTTTTCCCCATAATATGCGTTTCAATGAACTCTTTAGAAGCCTTGTGTGGCTCCGTGAGGTAGCCTAATGACTAAAGTCCTTGCCTTGCACACGCTGGGATCCCATATGTGTGACAGTTTGTGTCCCAGCAGCTCGGCTTCCCATCCAGCTCCCTGCCTGTGGCCTGGAAAAGCAGTCGAGGATGGCCCCAAGTCTTGGGACCCTGCACCTATGTGGGAGACCCGGAAGAGGCTCCTGGCTCCTGGTTGCTGATGGAAGATTGTCCTCTCTATCTCTCCTCCTCTCTGTATATCTAACTTTCCAATAAAAACAAATAAATGTCTTTAAAAAGCTTTTTGTGTGCATAAGTTTAAATGATTATAATCTTATCTTTTAATTCACTTTTCCATCAAATCTTAGAATTACCCTGGTATCTTAAGTATTGTCCTAATGGAAAAGTCAAAAATGTGACAAGAGTCATAGTGCAATAAAATTTGTATAAGCTTTGAGCATTAAGGTCATCCAAGAGTTTGGACACCTTTTTGCTATTTAATAGCTCGTTTAAGTCTAGGTTATCTAGAATTTCCTCCAGAGCTTTCAGTCATCTTTGAAATAAATTATGCAAAGACCAAAACAACAACCACCACACAAAAACTGTTGTGGGCGTTAAAATAATCTGTGGGTGCATAATTCAAAAAAATGTCCTAAACTGTTCTGTGATTTCATTTAAACCAGCTTACTCTGGCTATGGAGTTAAAACAAAATTCCAGTTTCCCTGCAGATCCATAGTTGGATAGTGCCTTCCCCCTGAGATTTGGTGACATCTGTGGATTCTGAGCCCTACGCAGCTGGCAACACAATGTCATTCTAAATCAGTACCTTTGTGGACTGCCGGGATTATGTGATTGCTTCCACAAGCAAATGAGCACGAGGAAGAACTGTGCTATACTTTCATGGTCATGACGATAATTTGTAATAAGCAAATTCCTGTTTTTTTCTTTTTCCTTTATTCTAAACAACTGCTCAGGATCTTAAAACCAGTGGGAGTAAAGAAGAATATTCTCTGTATTCTTTTTCAAAAGGGACATCTGGACAATTTCTGTGACTTAATTAACCTGTTTTTCCCCTTTTGTCTTTCTCTTTTCATATCAGTCACTACGAACAAGACCGTAGTGCTCTTAAAAAGAAGGAATGGGAGCGGAGGACTCAGGAAGTCCAGCAAGAAGATGATCTCTTTTCTTCAGGCTTTGATCTTTTTGGGGAGCCCTACAAGGTAGTTGAATATGTGTGTAACTTATCTTTCGGGGAAATGATTGTTCCATTTTTTTAAACTTCTGAATCAACATTTACCTGTGACATAAACAAATCACTTGCAGAAGAATTTATTTGACAAGTAAAATAAGTATATCTACTATGTTTAGGCAATTGCAGGTTTCTGAGGAAGTCTTTAGAGACAAATTCCATCTTCTTTGGAAAGCAAGGTAGGATTTGCCCAACACTTCCTACAGTGAGGAATGCCCCTGGATGAATTCCAGTGCTTTGACTGTCAGAGAGACAACTCTTGGAGACTTGGTCAGAATGTCAGTGGACATATTTCAAGCAGATGTAACTCCCCTTTCCCATCATTGCTACCCATTACAATGTCATTGCTATCATTTCCATTTTATATTGTTACCAGCTGTTCAGTGGCTTGAGCACTGTTTGAAAACCACTGTTCTAAAATAAAGAAAAAAACAATCATTTTTCCTGGTGGTGAGTAAATCATATGTTAGGAAATTATTCCTACCAGAGGAAATGGCATAGCTATGTTGATTTCCTTATGTATTCTGGTTAGTGTGTTACTTCAAAACATGAAACTGCTATGTGTACAAGTATAGATTTTATACTGATTGAATTTTCTATTTTGGTTGAAGATTTGGGGCAACTAGAAAAAGTATAATAGAAGAATCTTATGCAATTGGTGGCAGTTAATTGGCTTTTATGAAATTAGTGGCAGTGTAATTTTCTACAATGAAACAAAAATAAGAAATAAAACTGAAATTTTAAGAGGTGAAAATTTACAAGAGCACTGTTTAGCCTACAGCAGCTTCTGGGAATAGGAAGTCCTGGGAAAAGGACAGCGCGTTTCAGTAGGGGGTAAATTGGATTGGTGAGTGCTGAGACCATCATCTTCTTCCCAATTCTTGATTGAGGCACTCTGATTACTCCTGCCTTCAGTAATCCTGATGGTCTTAGATCCTGCAAACTACTAATTTTCAACTGTGCATCCCATAATTTTTTTCTATCAATCTCTTTTATGTACACATTTCACTGTATGCTTTTAGATACTTGATTCATTTAACGCACATTTTTGAATGCTTATTGTACACCAGTCTCTTTACAAAGAGGAATAATGCCTAACCCCTGCACTCAAGTAATTCCTAGTTCAATGGTAGAGGTCATTATGGAAGACTCATGTTATAAGTGCATATTGACTGTTAGGGAGATATGCGAAGGGCAGAGATCAATGAAGCATGTATATTTCACTCCAAGAATTTCAGTTCAATTCTGTCCTTGGAGAAAAGGTATTACAAGCTTTTAACAAGAGGCATGACCAAGAGAAAGGTAGAAATCAGAAAGATTAATTTGGGCAGTATATACAGGGTTTAAAGGCAGGGGAAACTAGAGGAATATTATAAAGTTATTTTAGCTTCTAGGGGAGTTTATGACAGCAAGAATTTAAGATAAAATGAGGAAATTAAAATGACACTATATGGTGTCTTATTTGAATATGGAGTAGTATAGGATAAAAATGAATGATTCTGAAGTGGTTTTTGTTTTTCTACTTGAGAAGATGATGGTATCATTAAAAAGTTGTTCAAGAAGATAAAAAGATTTGTACTTGTAGAGAATAATTCAGTTTTGAGCATATTAGGTTTGAGATTATGATTGGTAATATCTATAAGGATATATATATATATATACACACACACACACACAGAGATCATATGAGCATCAGATTTATACAGGTGTCAGTGAAAGCTGGGAGAATGAAGGTCATCACCAAGTTATATCATGCAGGAAAAGACAAAAAGTGAATGCTGGGTGATAGCTACATTTAAGGAGCAAAGTAGTGTTGTAAGCAAGGTATTAGAAAACTAAAAAAAGAAGTTGTCACAGAGATAGGAAGATAAGAAGGAAAGACACATTTACTAAAAACAACAGGATCTTATGGAATGACTGCACTAGTTACATCAGAGTCTAGGAAAGACAAGAATGAAGGGGGCTGGCAGTTAAAAGATAATCAGCAACCATATGGGAATTCACATCATTTGGTGAAACTGGTGGCATTGTGGAGAGCCAACCAGGAATTGTAGAGTAGCAAGTGATTAAGTAAAGGAAAAGAAGTTGATGAAAAGTTGATTTGGGAAAGAGTTTTGCAGAAAGGAATTTTTGAAAGTGAAAGCAACGATTATGTTGAACAAGAATCTTTTTTAATTGAAAGAAATATGACCATCTTTTGAGATTGATGGGAAGGAGCCAACATCAATAGGGAAGGAGAAGTGGAAGATACCTGGAAAGAGTTGACCCTGAGTGGAGCAAGCTAACGGGAAGATTCATTACAAGATGACGAGTGGATGAAGAACCCTGAGTCAGGGGGAGGAAGAAAGGAATGAAACATTGAAATGACAGTGAAAAGAAGCAGACAAGTGTAGGTGATATTGGGATTAGAGTCAGTCTGGGAATAAAGAATAGCAAAAGGGCCATAGGCATCCTTCTCCTTCTCAAGGTGAAAGAGGAAAAACCAAATGAGTCTTAATTCTTATCTTTGGATGGGTGAGAAAAATAAAGTTTGCTCCAAGTATTTATTTTTCAAAATCAGTTTCCATCCCCATCGTCACCACTATTATGTGGTGTACAATGCTCGCTTCTTTCCTGCCTTTACATTGTAAATCATGTCGCAATAATGGTCTGTTATCTTTAAGGTAGATGCTAACTGTTAATAAGGCTGGTCATATAGACACATATTTATCTGTACATGTTAGCAGTATATTTTAAAATAGTCTATTGAAAAAAAACTGGCTCTTAGCATTGTCAGAAGTTTTCATAAGGTATCTGTCTTGATAATAGAAGGGTGCATCAGGTAGAGACACAGGTGGACACATTAAGTCTAGTTCAGGATCAGGCCTGTTGTATAATTACCTTATTACATTTTTGCCCCTTGATGGGGAAGAACTGTTGTTCTTGGGTCAAAACCATGAAAGAAATGAATGATGCTAGCAATCCGTGGCCTAGTAATTGTGTTTCTTTCAGCCTTGCTTTGTTGATCAGTTGTCATATTGTGTCATTCATCTTCAGGATTCTCGATAATATTATTAGGAGTAAGAATCAAAAACTTGTTTTATTTCTCCAAGATTCTTGTAACGAATGAAATACAGTAATTTCTTTTTTAACATTTTGATCTGAGACAATCATTTGTCTTAACTAATGAATTGGTACTTCCTTCCTTCTGTCAGACAAAGAACATTCTAGTACGTATGAGCTTTTCCTTTTTGACTGTTGAGTAAAGGAGCTAAAAGTTCAGTTTGTTCCAGTCATAGTAACCAAGTTAGCCTGACTTTTGTCTTTCCATTTATATATCCTTTACTCCAAGCTATTGCAAAGTCTTTATTTTGATATAAGCATATTATGAATTATAATTTTACCCTGTTCCATTTGACAGCAAGTTTTTCATACTTAATATGCACCAGGCATAGTACTATGTCTGGGGTATATAAAGATAAATAAAAGTGGCCTTTGGTTTTTAAGAGATTACAGTTGTATACAATGAGACAAATCATAGTAATAGTTGTTATACTATGGTGTCAAAGTTCATTTTTCTGGACTTATTCAGAGAAATTTCAATTTATCTTTTGTTTTATTCATATATATGTCTATATATATATGCATAATTTTAGACTGATACATTTAGAAATTCTCCTGATTTCAAGCATGATTTATAATGTAGTCATGGAAGAAAAATTAAGCATACATTAGAAACCTGGATTATTGTTACAGTAAACATAAATAAGAAAACTGGATATGATTTCCCCCAACCAAGGAGAAAGCATGTATTTTGCTATTAAATGCTAAAAACAAAAAGGGGTGTGACTTGCTTGTTTTCCCTCAAAAAGTTGGTTCTTCAGTTCTGATGAGATCTGAGGTAAGAACGGAATGACGCCTCAGAACATGGGGTTGTTACAATGATCTTTGTGACACCTAAAGGCAAGGTGGTTCTGATTCTGTGAAGCTTGATTTCCATGGAAACTAAGTAGGAACACTATGGGAGATGAAATGATGTTCTTTTTCACTCGTTGGGCCAGATCCCTTAAAATAACTAGGAATTACTGATCACTCATCTGACATGAGCGATTTTATTTCCGGGGTAAACACAAACCTGAGATTGGCTAAAGCTTGCTCAGAATTCAGGCTGGGCTGTCAAGACAATGAAATTTCTTGTTTCAGGGATTAAATTAGATACCAGTTTCGCCTGCTCTCCATGGTTCATTGTGCAGTCCAGTTGTAGGAAACCACTGTATGGAAAAAGTAGCTGCTTGCATTTGCTGAAACAATTTTTGCCATAAGAAATGACAAACGTTGGGACTCATATGGAATTAAAGCTTATACCTATGAATAGCTTTTAAATGTTTTGCAAATATACTTCTAAAAATAGAGTGTGTATTCAGTTGAGGATTATATGTAACGTTACTTGTTTAATTACTATAGTACCAAGGTTGCATATAATGCAATGTAAGATGTTCTTAAAGATAAAAAACTAAAAACTGACATATTTATTTGATTTCTGCAGTTCTCCATTTCCCACGTATTGACTTTAGAATATATTTGGCACATTTTTCCTTAATCTTTGAAATTCATAACTTTTTAATTCACCTTGTTATGCTTGGAAGTGCCCTGTGTGATTTACTACGAATCAAAGGAAGTGCACAGCATCTAGAGACCGTGCCAAGTCACGATCTCTACCTGCTGCCCTCTCCTCGATTGTCCTTTCGGGATGTCCTGTCTACTCTCAGCTTCTTGAAGGTTGATGCTCTCCAGGGTTTTCTTCCCCGACCCGATCTTCTTATTCTACGTGGTGTTTTCCTTAGTGATTTCATTTATTTCCAGTACTTTACTCTCTATTCATCTGCATATTCTTCCAGTTTTATGTACAGAGAAGCTTAAGCAGCTATACAACTTAGATTTAGAATGAGATGTCAGATGGAAAAAGGTGTTCTCCCCGTAGGTACCAGGAGAGCAGCCTGCATGCAGGCCATGTGAGAAACCCTGCATGTTTAACGTTTGCCTTCATTGACTGGTTCCAGTGGGATGTGGTCACTCCCTCCTGTGCATGGAGTGTGCGCATGTTGCTGCTTAGACCTGTAGGCCACATAATGTGATATCCTTCCTATTTTGTGGCCCAGTTGTCACCTGACTCCTTGGATATTGGTGGGTGTCTTTCATTGCAACATCTTAGGCCAAGATAATGAAGCCTAGGCACAAAGAATTCCTTTACTCTTCCAAATTCGACAGCTTGTTTTGTTAACTTCTATGGCATTTAAAGAAAATTTAAAAAATCATTTTGAAGCTGAATCAACTGAAATTTCATCAATGTAATATCCAAGCACACTCATGTATTTCAGTCATGAAAGCTTTCTTTGTATGTCACACAACACTTTCAAGAAGTTCATTATTTAAAAAAAAAATCTTTAGCCCATGTAATAGGATTAATATTCATACAGGAAGGAATGCTGTAGATGGCATGTTGCTTGTCCATATAATAATTTGGTTGCCTCTGTGACTCTACATATTAGATTAACATCACTTTGAAAATATGGTTTTGTTGGATTTACTGAAGTAACAGTTCCATTCATGATTTTTTTTTTAAATCACTGAAAAGGCAGGGGAGAACTTCAGTCAGTGTTGATGAACAATTGTATCCTTTTAATGAGTATAAATCATCAACATGTAAACACAGGCCCCCAGAACATGTAGGCAAACACCAGCAATTTATACAGTTCGTTGATTAAAAGGAACTAGCTTCACTTCAGTCATACATTAGCCCAATTATATGTCATTTAATCCCATGCTTTGTAAACGTAGTAAAGTCATGATAGTACAGTTTAACTTTCTTGTCTAATTGGCCAAACCTTTTTCATGGTGCATAATGTAGTACAAATGCTTATGTGTCTAGAATATGTATAAGACAAACATTCAGTTATAATTTCAATTACCAGTAAAGAGCAGTTGTTAATGGTGAAGTGGAGTGTAGCAGTCAATCTCATCTGACTTAAGCTAAGTATCTTCTAACACAAATAATAAATAACAGAATTTAAAATTCTTCAAAATGAACTTGTTTAAGGACAAGCTGAGAAGTATTCCCAAAATGAGTCACGCATGCTCATTCCAAGAGGCTCTGTAAATAATACTATTGATTTTTTTTTAACTACAGAGAGCATAAGAAGTATGAAATTTTATGGCAGTATGGCAATTTTAAAGAACCCTGTGTACTAGTCTACTTAGGGCATCTGTTTGAAACATAAGCATTAGGAAACAAAAAGCTATTCATTCTTTCTCCTCCCACCCCCATCTTTTTGTTATTTTAGACAAACAAAGGTGATGCCCTCGCCAACCGAGTCCAGAACACGCTTGGAAACTACGATGAGATGAAGGATTTGCTAACTAACCATTCTAATCAGAATCATCTAGTGGGAATCCCAAAGAACTCTGTGCCCCAGACTTCCATCAACAAAAATGAACCAAGCTTTTTCCCAGAGCAAAAGAGCCGAATGATGCCATCTCAGCAGGATAATACCCACTCCTCAGCATCAGTGCCTCCACCTTCTGTTGTGATACTGAATTCAACTCTAATACAGAGCAACAGAAAGTCAAAACCGGAGTGGCCACGAGATAATAATAATCCTAGCACCATATCAGCAAGCCAAGCAAGTAATCAACTCAACAAGATGCAGACTTTGTCACAGGACCAGCCTCAAGCCAGACTTGAAGATTTCTTTGTCTACCCAGCTGAAGCACCCCAAGTTGGAGCCATTGAGGAGTCAAACGCACCTGCAAAGGAAGACATTAATCCTGTGTTCAGTGGAGAAGATGCTTTCAAAGAAATCTTTCAGTCCGACTCAGTAGAAGAATCTGAATTTACAGTGCAAGCACCTGGGTCTCCCTTAGTTGCCTCCTCTTTGTTAGCTCCCAGCAGTGGCCTTTCAGTTCAAAGTTTCCCGCCAGGGCTTTACTGCAAAACAAGCATGGGGCAGCAAAAGCCAACTGCCTATGTAAGACCCATGGATGGCCAAGAACAGGCAGCAGACATCTCACCAACACTGAAACCTTCCATTGAATTTGAGAACAACTTTGGGAATCTGTCATTTGGATCACTCTTGGACGGAAAACCCAGTGCAGCCAGTTCAAAGACTAAACTGTCAAAGTTCACAATGCTCCAAACAAATGAAGTAAGTAATTGCAAGTTTTATTTCATCTTGTAACATTCACAACCAGCTTTTAGTTACATTATTGAATCATATGTGAGACTGCTAAAGGTCTGAGATTTCTTCTTTATCTGTCTGTTGTGGCATGACTAGTTACAGATCTGCAGATACAGTTAAATTTCTAGAAATTCACCTTGACTGAAAATGAGGTCAATCTGAATGAGTGAAAAGTTGGAGTTATAAAATGGTTTTAGAAGATGCACTTATGGAAATATATATAAACTAGTTAAGTTTGAGATTACATATAGTCATAAATAACATGAGGCTCATGGATAGAGTGAATCATCATAGACTTACGCTATCCAATGGCATATTATAAACATAAAACACAGAATTTCCTTAAGTTAAAAAAAATATACAAGTGTGATTTGGTGGAAGCTGAAGTAGAAGGGATTCTTGAAACATCTTTGTATTTCTATGTTTGCAAAGCTATTCCTTGGCAAGCTCTTAACGTAGTCTCCTTCATCCCTCAATCCTACCTTCTGCTTCATTTTGTACAGACGACCACATAGCCTGCTCATACTACCTCCATCCCTTCTTTTGTAGCAAAAGACAATATGATCAACCCAAATCCCACTGGGTTTAGAATGGCTAAATGGCCATAGCCCTACCCCATCCCAGGAACCAGTGCTTTGAAAAAAGAAGTTTAGAGGAACCAATCCTTCTCTTAGAGAAGTGAATCACAAAAGATTGCATTCCAGGCTCTGTGTCTCCCTGGAGGAGACATTCAGAGGGCTGTCCTGTTAACACCACCACCGAAGTGGCTGCCTACTGCACCTCAACCACTTGAGTGGAAGACGCTTCTGCCTGTTAATTGGATTCCTATGAATAATGACCGAAGTTTCGAAAAAAAAAAACCCAGAGGAACAAAGTCTGTTGAAATTCTTATTCAATCAGAGTGACAGGCTTTCTGGGCAAATCATTGTAGGTGCTACTTCAGAGGTGTTCAAATTAGAGAATTCTGCCTCTCTGACTCCTCTGGCTCATCTTCCGTCCCTGGTCCTCAGTAGACAAGGTTATTTTGGACAACAGTGGGAACTCAATGGAACCAGATGTTTGGGGCTGTTGCTTATATATTCTAGATGGATGATTTTTATACTTTTCCCTTCTGAGGAAATTTTGCTTTTTGTGCCTAATTCATCAAGTCTTGTCAAACTTCCTCCTAACTAGCTCTCCGTTGTGTTGCCTCTTCTTTAACCTCACCACCTTGGAACCGTGTGTAACTACTGTGTACCTGGACTGCTGTAACAGCGTCTGTTAATAGATCTCCCTCACTTTAGCTCACCTCTCTTTCAAACCATCCATCGTGCAAGCTGATTCAGTTGCAATATCTAACTTTTGCTTTTGATTCTTCAAAACCTTCTTATCACTCTCAGGAAGAGGTCCAACTTTCTAAGTCTCAGTTTCACCATGTAATCATACACAAATGAAATTTCAGGCATCGGGCCCGGCGCGGTGGCGCAAGTGGTTAAAAGTCCTCGCCTTGCACGCCCGGGATCCCATATGGGCGCCGGTTCTAATCCCAGCAGCCCCGCTTCCCTTCCAGCTCCCTGCTTGTGGCCTGGGAAAGCAGTTGAGGACGGCCCAAAGCTTTGGGAACCTGCACCCGCGTGGGAGACCCGGAAGAGGCTCCTGGCTTCGGATCGGCATAGTATCGGCCCGTTGCGCTCACTTGGGGAGTGAATCATTGGACGGAAGATCTTCCTCTCTGTCTCTCCTCCTCTCTGTATATCCGCCTTTCCAATAAAAAAAATAATAAAAATCAATCTTTAAAAAAAAAAAAAAAGAAATTTCGGCCATCTAGAAGTTCTCATGGTTCCCTGTCATATGATTTTTTTCAACATGCTGCCCTCTCAACTAGAACATCATTTTCTTCCTTCCTTTATATTCTTACTGAAATCCTATTGCTGATAAAAGTAGGCTTGGCTGTCATATTTTCTGTGAAAGCTTCCCTGATTCCCCCAGCTTGATTAGAAACCACTCGTTTGTAGGTCCTTTATTGTCTCATTTTATACATCTTGATTTGCACTTCATGGTATAATAGTCAGGTGTTTATGTGACTGTTATATTAGACTGTATGCTCCTAGAGGGCAAGGAATGTGCCGTACTTCCCTCTATCCCAAGTGCCTAAAAATATCTTGCACATAATAGATATTCAATAAATAGTGAATGAATACATTTCAAAAAATGGTCCCTGGATTACCTTTCCTAAGCTGCTAATTAATAGGAACAAAGATAAACCATTGCTATGAAAGTCATTGTCAGTTATATTTCTTTAATTGTTTTCTGCCTGCTCGTGTCGCATTTTTTTTTCTACCAGAAGACTTAATGAAGTTAACACTCAAAAGCACAAAGACACCTGATTTGCAAAAAAGGAGGAGCATAGTGGGAGTTTAGGATGCCATTCTGTTTCCTGTTCCTGGTGTCTGTTGTTTCCCCCTTCTTGTGTTGGAATGTCATCGTATAGGGCTGGGGTTGAAATAGCACTGCTTTGTAAAACAATCTACATGACGGGTCCCAGATCCAATGAGATCCCTCTATTATAATCCTCTCTTTTATATCTTACAAAATGGCTGATCTAGATTCAAAAATGACTTTCACTTAGTTCACTGACACTCTAAAGAGGAATACATTTTCAAAACGAGTCTGAACTGTCGACAGCATTGGAAACAGTTCCCCAAGGAGCAGTCTTTATGCATGAGGTGTTTGGTGTTAACACGGACAGACTTGATATCGTTTTATGTGAAAAATTATTAGTCAGGTGCAATAAAGCCATGAGAGGACATAAGAAAGTACTTGTTTCAAAATGTAGCTCTTAAGGAATGCTTTGAAAGAGGAATAAGGAGAGGTTTAGGGCCATGAAGTCAAACAATATAGATAGAACTAAATTGTAACGTAAAAACCAAGAGAGGAAGAAAGGAACTGAAAGTTCAGACAGCCCAACAGAGAGACTGAAGTGTGTAGATTAAAGAGTAGGCATAATACAGAGCAGAGCATCATGAAACTTTGAACTTAATGCAACTTATGTAGCAAAAACTCTAAATCTGAATATCACTCTTCTAAGTGTTTATGCACTTCTAAAAGCACTTAGCATTTGAATTTATGCTCTGTTCATTTTTATCTTTAATTTTTATTTATGCTTTTAAAGATTTATTTATTTTTTATTACAAAGTCAGATATGCAGCGAGGAGGAAAGATAGAAAGATCTTCCGTCCGATGATTCACTCCCCAAGTGAGCGCAACGGCTGGTGCTGTGCCAATCTGAAGCCGGAGCCAGGAACCTCCTCCAAGTCTCCCACATGGGTGCAGGGTCCCAAGGCTTTGGGCTGTCCTCAACTGCTTTCCCAGGCCACAAGCAGGGAGCTGGATGGGAAGTAGAGCTGCCAGGATTAGAACTGGCGTTTATATGGGATCCTGGCGTGTTCAAGGTGAGGACTTTAGCCACTAGGCTATGGCGTCAGGCCCTATTTTTAATTTTTTTTAAGATTTTTTTTTTTCTTCTTGGAAAGGCAGGTATACAAAGAAGAAGATATTGAGAGAAAGATCTTCCATCCATTAGCTCACTCCCCACGTGTCCACAACGGCCAGAGCTAAGCCGATCCGACACCAGGAGCCAGAAGTTCTTCTGGGTGTCCCACACTGGTGCAGGGTCCCAAGGCTTTGTACTGTCCTTGACTGCTTTCCCAGGCCACAGGCAGGGAGCTGGGTGGGAAGCGGGGCCACCGGCACACTAACCAGCCCCCTTATGGATTTCCGCCGAGTGCGAGATGAGGACTTTAGCTGCTAGGTTACCACTCCAGGCTTGATAATGGGAGTTCTAAGTGACCGGAAAACAGACAAAATCTAAGACAAACAAGTAAGCAGATAAGGTTATATTTGTGTGTTGGGAGATCATAAACTATCATGAAAATGTGATATGTATGTATATTTGTGTGTCCATGTTTGTTTATATCTCTATACTTGTATCAGTAGTAGGGTAAGTCATATTTCTTCTCCTTGAAACCTTCTCATGCTTAGAATTTATGTCATAATAATACATTTAAAGTCTAACCAACTTTATTGCAAAGGGTTAGCTTTGCAAGTGAGGTATGTAATTTATAAAGTCATTTGTTTAAAAGATTCATGATACAGAATTTATTAAAATCCCAAGCAATCAAAGAGGGCTGATCTGTGATGCAGTTGGGTCTAGATGAATGTTTTCTGCTAACTGTAGCTGAGTACTCTAAGAGGAGTATTTATATCAAGCAGAAACTGAGGGTTCTTGCAGATGGTGTTTTATTAGGAAACAAATTTGTTAATAAATTCAGCTTTATACATGATTACATAAGAGAGTTTTGTTTATTCTTCCCTTAGGAGAAAAATCTGCTAGTGTAGATAGCTTTGAATTTTGGCATAATCTGTTATTAGTATTGTTTGGCAAATCAATAATTGCATGCAAATGAAATGAGCAGTCGTGACGTATTAAGTATACTATTCCCAAGTACAGTATTAATGTGAAGTGTCATTACCATAAAAATTCATTTGCTTTACATGTTATTCTTGTCTATGCACTTAAGCTATTTGAGTCTCCAATTGCTGTGAAACTAGAAGCCTCTTAGGAAAGGTTAATGTAAATGACATGCGTTTGATCTGGCTTATTTTAGAGGCTAGCTTTGTCAGTCAGCTGAAAAGTTACCATATATTCCTGACTGTGCCTGTTTTCTATGCAGTGAACACTGTGAGTACAATTTGCTTTATTGATGATGAAGTAAATAATAAGCATAGGTGCTTTATGTGCGAACTACAGAGAACAGTGTGATCTCACTCCTGGAGTTCTTGGTCTTTATGCAGCTACACAAAAATGATGGAGAACAGAAAGCCGTCCAGCTGCTGTGTGCATTCATTTTCCCCTTAAAGTACAAGGTGTGGTTCTTTTGTCCCTTCTTATGGAAATAAAATTAGATGCAGTCCCAGGCTATGACTGG